ATAAGCAACTCGTGTTTTTTGGTGTTCCCTGAATATTTTGATTTTTAAAAAATCATATAATTCTATACACTTATTTTCAAATATACCTTGTATCTTCACATTGACTTCTCTCTCTTTCATCAGCGTTATTAATGCATACTTATTTATAAAAATTCAGAAGAATATTCCGATTCAGTTAGGGAGGAAAGCAAACAGGAATAAGCACAGGCTCTCACTGCTAATTACTAATTACATAGCTAATCACTACTACATCCCATAGATAATTACTAAAAGTAATTAATAAACACAAATACAAAACACTTCCTAGAAACACATTCAAATTCAAAGGATTTTGAAAATCTTGCGCTTTATGTTATGCATGGGCACTGGTTCCGATATCCACAGTCATAACAACACAGCTGCAACAAACTTCTACACAGAAAAGTTACAGTTCTCCCTTCCCAGGGGAAAAAACAAAACAAAACAAAACACAGTTCCTAGAGTCAATCAAGTGAAAAGCTCAGGACTGTTGAAAGTTGCCAAATTTGATAGCCTGATAGAGATAAGGTTGCTGCAGCTCTCTGTTTTTAATCCATGATTTAGAAGCAGTGCTGAGGCCAAGTGTGTTCCCAAGAGGCACATGAACAGATGCAATACATAACATGCAGCAGGTGACACACAGATGGAAACTCCCAGCACTCAGACACAAATGGCACAAACAGCCTCATCCTCCTCCAGCTGACCAGGAGGAAGGATGGTTTATAGTTGGAAATATATGCACTTACTCAACATGGATCCCTCCTCTAATTTGCCTTAGACACTTGGTCTAACCAGTAGCTAACACCTGGATCCCCAGTCTTCATGCTTGATGGCACTGGATGTACAAGGCTGAGGCCTGCGGCTCCCCTCCAGCTACAGGTACAGACCCCCTTTTAATCCTGGACACACTCACACATCCCCTGTCACCCAGTAATGGGCCTTACACACTGAACGTATCCAGTAAATGGCCCTGGACCCCCAGTGCCCAATGACATCTCCACATACACATTATGAGCCCCAGCAGCTAGCTTTGGCACCCAGGCTAGCCAGGAGCTGGCTCCTGGCTCCCTGGTTGCCCCTTGCCTCATGCACAGACACACACATGCAAACAGCCCTCGGTCAACCCATAGACAATACAGCTGCTCCAGACTGGTCTGGACCTATTGGCCCCGCCAAGAGCTGACGTGAGCCTTCTGGTCTCTCCCAGTATCTGGTCCAGACTTCTGGCCATGTGAATACCTGGCACCTAAGCCACTCATCCAGCTCACTGGCAACTCCAGCCTGAGGCTCGGTACTGACCTCACAGTGACATATGCACGCGTTCTGCACTCTCCGCTTTGGTGTCACCACTGACACACAGGCCCCTCCAACCCATGGTCCAGCACCAGTTGACAACACTTAAACCTACAGACACATGTATACAGATGGAGAACCTCTTCACTCAGGAAAACAGTTAGAAATGGAGCATAAGATGATACAGGACAGACTGTGCTGATCAAGCACAGGTTATGACTAGAAAACAGAGCTGAGCAAGAGCTTCTTTACACATGACTGGCCCCTTTTATCCCCTTATCCCTCTATTTTTCCTTGATTTTTTCCTCCCAAGTCTATCTCAATCCCTCACGTTCCCTGCCTACAGTCCTTCCTCTAAACATCCAAGAATAAATCTGTTGTGGTTTAAGCCTGATCGGCAACCAACCACCGCAGCTAATCACCCTCCCTTCCCCCTCCCCACCTGGGAATGGGGGAGGGATTAGAGGGGTGAAGGGAGACTCGCAGGCTGAGATAAGAACAGTTTAATAATGGCAATAAAATGAGAACAATAATGATGATGGGGGAAAACAAAAAGAGATATATAAACAGGCAATGTACAGCGTAATTGCTCACCACCCCCTAACCAATATCCAGCCCGTTCCCAGCTAACAACCCCGAGATACCAAGATCCCACAATCGCAGTCCCGGAAGCGAGAGAGCCCCTTCCCGACCACCCCTCCTTTATATAGTGAGCATGACGTTCCATGATATGGAATATTTCACTGGCCAGTTAGGGTCAGGTGCTCTGGCCGTGCTCCCTCCCTGCTCCCTGTGCCCTTGCGCATGGGCAGGACACGGAGAGTCGGAGAGTCCTTGAAATCTCTGCAGCAGCTGAAAACACCAGTGTGCTATCAGCATTCTTCTCATACCAAACCCAAAGCTAAATCCAAAACACAGCACTCATCTAGTCCCTGAAAAGGAATATTAACTCTATTTCAGCCCAAACTAAGACAAAATCTAGCACCATACCATAAAGCTCTCCCCTCCGTCTCGTAATGTATCCGTACCCATGTAGGCAGTAGCTCCCTCAGCCTGAACGGTGATCAGGGCAGCACCTCCTGTTGACTCCTCCTGATGGGTTTCAGCCCCAGCCCATAGAGCTGAGGCTCTCCTGGGACAACCCTGGGAGGAGCCCAGCCTTGAGGCTCTAATTAGGGCAGGGGAGTTATTCTACCAGTACTGCAGCTCTGCCCTCCTTTGGGCATGTGGAGAAAAGCCTTTTATCAGATAAACTAACAAAGATGTTGTTCTGCCAAGAGCACTTCTCTTTGTACTTCAAAGTTTGCAATCTGGTGCTAGCCTGCTATCATATTTTAGATGTATGAGTTCTGAAATCCTATTTAAACTATTCTAAACTCAGCTCCTAAAAATCTGTAACTTTAAAGTCCTCAGTAAGTTATTTAAAATCAAGTTTAGGCAGCATTAAGCTAGAAGCAGAGCACTTCTTAAGATGAGTATTCACACTAGGGCTATGAACAGCTTTCTGTTTGCATCTGATAGCTCCAAGAATTTTTACTGATAGACATAAAAGATAATTAGGCTTCACAAACTTTACATTCGGTTATGAATGTTGGGACCTTTCTTTTTTTCTCTGTTTTGGCTCTTCTTTCTTGTCAAGGAAGTTTGTGCATGTCAATGTAAATTCAGAAAACTTCCAGATAAAATATAATCAAGATGGAATTGAACAATTGAAGCCTTAGGAAAAATAGGTCACAGAAACTCTTCTGAATTCAAGAGTGATGTTTTTAGAAAATGAGTCTTAAAACCCAGAAATTCAAAGTGAAATTTCACAGTGAAACACTTTATTCTTTAATACTTTCCCATCATTTCCAATATTCTACTTCTTCCCATTATATCATGCCAAATTGAATTAACTGCTATTCTGCAATTGTAAAAAGACAACTTATCAAATCAAAAAGCTTTCTTCAGTTTTTTCACTGTTTCACTGTCTACTTACTTCATAAGGTATTTATTCTTTTGCCATTTTAATAGACTATCAGAATAATTTTCTTATTGTAAGCACATATTAAAAACAGGTTAAGTTCATAAAGTGTTATTAAATCCCTGTCAAAGCTGAAGGCTTAGGGAATGAAAATACACTCCCATCTGTTTTCTTTATGACATACAAGCAGTGATATAACTATTTTCTTTTATGATACAGACCTGATACTGAGAACATCCATTATGATTCTTCACTGACTGAATAGCATCTCCGGACTGCAAGTTCCACACCATTATAAAGTGTAAGCCATTGGCTGAGTGCTAAACCAGCAGTAGAAATGTAGACTAGAGTTGTGTTTCCATGTAAAACAAGGGCAGAGAGAGCTTGAGCACTGTACGACTGATTTTTCCTACCTCTTAGTTGTTAACATGATCCCCAGAGTGGTTTAGCTTGTGCCACCCAGTACTCTGCCAGGCTGTACTCACATGTGGCTGGGTACGTTGTGTGCCAGCAGTTGTTCCCAAAGCACAGTATGTATCAGCAGGCCTGCATCAGGTTTGCCTCCCAGCACCTCATACAGTCCTCCAACATGACTGTGTCAGGTATTACACTCTTAGGTTTTTCTAACATGAGCTCACATATTTATAGAATAATTTAGGTTGAGAGATACCTCTGGGCGTCATTGAGTCCAGCCTCCTACTCAAAGCAGGACTAAGTGCAAAGCTAGCTGAGATGGAACATACACACTTCTCTTGCAATCAAACAAGTGTATACCTCCAAGTTCCACAGAGATTTACATACACAAGCAAAGACACTTAAATGTAAAAATTTTACAATGAAAACTATTTAAATTATACTTACTTCATTTCAGAACATCTTAAAAATAATTATTCCCTACAGTTAAGTGTAGGGGTTACTACATTTCATTCTTTTTCCCTCAGTATTAAAGCTTTGGTATAGATAAGGGAAAAGAGTTACAAAATTCAGATGAAAAAAGTACTTCCTTAAATTATATTTTTTGATTATTAAGTACTATAAATACATATTAAAAATATATCATCATATTAATTTTTAAGATAATGCTCTTCACAAAATCCCAAACTAGTAACAACCCCCATCCCCAAAGGAGACTTCTCCTCTCTTTAAAGAAACCAATTTGGATTCCTCATACGTAGCTTACACTTTGTGGAAAAAAGGAGAGGGTGATGCATAGAGTTTAAGCATAAATATTTCAGCTCATTCTACTTCTTGAGTCATAGAATGAATTTGCAGTGAAATGGCAATACTGCAGTTTTATAAATACAAAGATGATATTAATTTATTATGGTATATGTGTTGAGGAACACATTCAGTAATCCTCCCCAGCCTATCCTTCAGGAAAACAAAGCATTTAAAATCATAAAGTATTAGGCACACTTGAGTCACTTCCTAAACAGAGGCTTGAAAAGATGAAAAAGTGCTATTACAGCTTGGCTGACTGACTCACATCATGGCATAATGCAGAATTAATTCTGTACACAGTAGGTTTATTTTAGTACTCAGCAAAACATAGCAATTCCCAAATTTCATAGTGTTAAAGCAAAAAGCAGGATATAATAGGAATTAAAAAAAAAAAAAAAAAAGTAATCCCACCCACCTACATTTTGTACATTGGATTTAATCTACCAGACTTAGTTAACTGCAACATATTAGCCAAATCACACTGACAGAAATATAGAATACCCACCTGTTTTAGGGTCAACAGAAAAATATGGCTGTCCCTGAAGAATACTGTACACAACTCTGGCGCTGTTTCCATATGTAGGGTCATCTGCATCTGTGGCTGTCACCTGTAGAACAGATGTACCTGTATATATAAGAAAATAAAAGTTTATTGATGTATTTTTCTGATAAATATAAATATTTTTAGAGACATTTTTGAAACCTCTACAGTCCTCACATTCTACAACTGAGAGATTAATAACATTTTCTCTATATGTCATTATTATATTTTTAAGGAAAACTGTTTATACTCATTTGAAAAATCTTTTTTCTCTTTCTCTCTATATATGTATATGTAACTTAATTACATATATATAAACATAAATAATAACTATATAGCATGCATATTTATACATGTTGACACATATAGACCCCGAACTTGGATATTGCTTAGACTTCAGAACAACCATATTTATGGATTTCAGGATTATCTTCATCCACAATACAAATTAATGTTGAAGTGCATATTTAAAATAACTTGCATAAACACCTCCAAATTAATAGAAGATACTAAGTGAATAAAAAAAATTTAGCTGTTGGAAAGAATCAAAGATCTGAAAATGAAATAACTACTAGAACCTTCTTGGAATTCCATTGACGGATCCAAAAGAGAAAGATAAGGAGTTCAAAAGACAAATATTTTTATGCTGTTAAAAATGCTATTATAAAAATAAAATCACAATTTCTAGAATGTCACTAAGTGGGATAACTTATGAGTAACACTTTGTAGAAAATAAAATGCACAAGTACTGCACAGATAGAACAGAAACAAGTAATTTTACATTCTACTGCATTTTTCAAGACATTTAATGATAAGTCTTTTTTGCTATCACTGTCCAAAACTTCAGATAAGAAATCAGTAAATGAAAGATTGGAAAGTTAATAAAGGCTCAGTCTTCATCCCACTTGTTTATCCTTCTACAGACACTGCTTTCTACAGAATCCTTTGGCCCAGTATTAAAATACAGGAATAATAATAAAACAACAGGCTGCTCTCATGTAATTCTGCATCTGAAAGTGGTTTCTCAGTTAAATTAACCACTGAGGCACCACCTCCACTCTGGGGTGTTCAATTTCACATCTTCGTTGTGAGAAGTACGCTTTTGAATTGAATCCCTTGATCTCCCTCACTTGTCGTACTTTGATTTGCCTCACAGAACAGTTACAGAGCATGCTAACTAGAATCCTTCACAAGAAAATAAACCAGAAGATGTGCTTTAGCAGCACATCTGATTTATTCAGACTGCTAATGGGCGTTTAGTCTCAGACACCAGAAAAGGGCTAGTCTGAAATAAGACTTCCCAGAAACATACGGTGTGGACATTGGATACTCAGTTCCAACTGTTTAACTTCATACATCAGTTTCTGTTGCACAGAAGTGTTTGTTCAAGTGCATATCCTCAGTGTACGCTGTAAATAGAAACACCTAAATTAATGGAGTCTGAGTACAGTAAAGCAAGCATGAAAATTTTTGCAAATTTTGATTCTTCACTGTTTGAGAAACCATTAATTTGTGCCACGTTAACTTGGACACCTAAAGTTGATTTTGTATTTCTACTGGAGATTTAGTAAATGTGTCTGCATACTTAAATATAGTGTCTTCTGATTTCTAGATAGCTTAAATGCACACAGTCTCGTAGATAAATATATTCACACAGCAGATGTAAGGATACCTTGATGAATTTAATGTTGAATATTGTAATAAAATCAAGCTGAAGCTAACAGTCTGTTCATAGTTATTCAGGAGTGAATGGTAAAACTGATGTAATTACTGTATTGGGGTTCATATGGCAAGTTAAACAAATATGAATTAAAGTTAATGTAATATTTTTAAAAAGTTCTAGGAATCTATTCAGCCATATGTATTTCCTATCTAAACTGAGAATAAGAGTTCCTACAAATCACATCAGGTAACGTCAAAGAACAGAAAATGCATTTTCCCCCCTATTATGTAGCTTATCTAAATACTGTGATGATACATTTCTGTAGCCCCATTTGGCAATAATTTCTAACTTGAGGTGGAAAATCTGTGACCTTTCTGTTTTCTAGTTAAGCTTGTTGTATTCAAGGGTGAAGGCTTGTCTACACTAATTTGTTGTTTTGCCTTTATTCATGGCTTCATTATTTTTTGTTGGAATCTTGTGGAATCATTAAAGATTAATAGGTTACCAATACACAATGATTTTACTTTTTTCTTAATTGGATACAACAAAAACATACCCATCCAATACGTATAGTCAGCCATCTATTAGAGTTTGCTACCCAGAGTGTTGGGCAACTTCTGTACCTTTTTATCTATATATTTTCCTGCTTCCAGCAAAATAGTTACCAACAGATGCCTGCTTGTCTAGCAGATTGAGTTCCCATTTGCACTTTTCTGCAGAGTTCTAGGAAATCAAGGTAAGTTTTGGAATGGATGAACAGATTTTGGCTATTTCAGAAGCAGAAAATACCAGAAATGCTGAGATTTCATGGTTCTCTCATTCTTCAGAGACTTTATTCTCTCCTTAATTTAAAAGGAAGGGGATAGGATCTGAGTGCTTGTATTGCTCATTGATGTGGGACAAAGAAACAGGGCTAGTGAAAGGCCATACCTCACTTAAGCAGCTGACAGGTCATTCTAGCATGAATGGAATGTTATTATACCTTAAAATTCGCCACAATGATTTTCCAATACATCTGTATCTATCTCCAAAGAAACACCTGATAATAGTAATTTGGTACTGAATAGTGGCAAAGTGTTCTCTTTCCAGCTAAAAGAACACTTAGAATCACAAGTTTTAACTCAACCCCCAACCCACCTCTCAAACTTTCCTTCAGCGCAATGTAGCTCATCGGCTGCTTAACTATTTCACTGTACTACAAAAGCACACTGAGCATCTTATAAAATATACCCATCATGATTCCAAAGGTATGTGTACCATTCAGATGCAGCACCATTTTTTGCTGTTGAGCTATGTGTAATAAAGGATTTAGATGGAAAAGTATACAGTACAGCTGCCTTGCTATTTTTAATGTTAACAATTCTGAAGAAAATGATCTCATACAAAAAAATAAGGATCTAATTTCCCTAAAGACCACAGAACAGATATGAACATCAGGCCCAGAGGCATACCTTCCATAATTTCTTCACCAACCTACTGTCAAGAAAATCTCAAAATTTTGCAATGAAAGCATTCTGACACTCCAGTTAGGCAATAAAAAACACTTTTTTTCCCCAAAGTGGAGGCTCTGCTTATTCAGAGTATAACTACCATTCCACATGATTTCCCACTACAGTTTAGAGATTACATATTGGGAATTCTGTTTTCTTAGCTAATGATTTATACAAAGCTGTAAAATATGTCTGTGTGCTCTCAACATCACCCTGTAAGCTTTGCCTTTTTTCTGTTATCAGAAATAAGGATCATTCCATTTGGGAAACAAAATTATAGTTTTATTTCAAAAAATCTTACTTTGTTTTCCACTTTTTTAAAATGTTTACAATAAAAATATTGTAAGGTTACATATCAAAGAAAATCTGAAGGGAAATACTTCAATCTGCTTCTCCAAAGACAAATTTTTCATGTTTAATAAGGCAGTTCAATAAAACATATCTGTTGAGAATGCAAATCTGCATGCATGGCTTTCCATAGTTTGCTGCACTGTTAAAATCTCAAATGGATAAATATTGAACAAAAAGTAAAATAAGTTGAAATAAAGATGAAGTTTAATGATCACAGGGATTTCCCGCCTAGCTAAACTAATTCTTAAAATTGTTTTAAAATGCTAGCAAGTCAACACAACATGTTTTAGTTTCATTCTACATTAGAAAACAGTGATTTCATCAGGAAATCAACACTTCAAGTCCAGTGACTATATTACTGATCCAAGTCCTCATTGTAGAAAATGTCATTTTTTTTTTTTTTTGTCAGCTATCTTTATTAGAAGATAAAAATCAAACAACGCAGGAAGATAAATAGTCAATTCTCATACAAATGATATTTATGAACACCATGAATACCGCCTTCCAGATTATCTGAAATTATAACTACCTCACATTATAATACCTTGGAAAGAATTTCAGAAAAGTCCAGTCTGTCTATTAATTTCCTAAGTAGATTTATTGGGAATACAGTTTTTATGCATAACCTCAACACTAGAAAATTTAATATATGATATTTTGCTCATTTTGAAGCTATCTGAAAATGAGCAGATATGGAAGGTTTTTACTGACTGAAAAATGTTTTTATTTCCTTTTACATTAAGTAATGATGACTTTTCCATAAACCTTAAAACAGAGCATAGTTATAGGTCTCAATGAAACTGAGTTCTGTATACTGCAGAAGAAAAAATTTCATATATAAACCTCTGTTCTTGTTTCTTTTAGAAAAAATGTTCAATGGAGGCAAGAAATAGATACTTTCTTTCAGCTCTTTCAGGATAGTACATAAAGCATAAATATGTTCACTTTGTGCCACAGTGAACACTGTGATGTAATATTTGGCAAATAATTTAATAAAAGTTACCTGTACTTTCCTGTCAGTGACCTAAAAAAAGAAAAAACATAGAGGTCCTACAGGTTATACTAGTAGATCAAAAAATGTTCAACTTGTGGGAAAAATACCAGTTAACTTCCTGAGGAGACAGACAGGAACCTGCTGCTGAAACTAAATAGCATAATGGAGATCAAAAATACCACTTGCCACTCAGCATGAGGACTGTTACAGAGAGACAGTAACATTGAAAATTTTTTAAATGAACATGTAAAAAAGCAGAAATTTTTAAAATAGTGAAGCATCCTTAGGAATTCATAAATAACAAGAAGTTCAATTATGTTTAGACTCCACAGCTAAATATCAAAAAATGTGCTAATTACAGGACTAATAAAAATGGAATAAGGATCTCCATTATTTCTCAGAAAGAATGTAACCTGTGGAAACAATAATAGGATTAGTCTTTCTGAGACTGCAGAGAATAAAATGCTTTTAGTATGCAACAAACAAATCAATAAGGGAAAAAGAAAATAATATTGATAAATTTGCAATGAAATTATAATGTATGACTACAGTAGATGGCCTGTATGGTAGGATATGAAAATTCAGTTTTATTCACACAACAATAAAGCTTTGTGGAATAGATATTTTAATGATTTACCTCAGGTACAACCAGTTAGTATTCCATTTATAAAACATATGCATTAAAGCTTCCTTGGTTTACCATAATCCACACTGTTTTATAATCCAAAATGCTATCCCAGACTAACTATTCAAATTGTTCTTTGGAAAACATTAACTTCTATTTGTAGTTTTACAGTAATACCAAGGTTCAGACTACTACAGAACTATGACTGACTGACTGACATATATGTAAGAATATTACATTTTGAGAGGATAAAAGAAGAAGAGAACTTTTATAAACAGAATGAACAAATAAATAATCATTTTATTAGATGCTTTTGACATTGAGGATAACATTGATTTCCTTTCCACTGTCTTTCTTCCTATGCAAAAAATAAAAGGCTTCCACAGGGGAAGGAAATAATCCAATAATTAAAATGGTCTCTATAAAGACAAAGGAAACTGAAGAAAGAAGAAGAGTTACGCGTTTTTGGAGACAGTCGGTAAAGGAAACAAATTTCACATCAAGACAGTCTGTATGTGACGAAAGACAACCAAGAGAAGAGCTTAGATGATACTGAAATTAACTGCAGCTCTAACAGTAAAACTTTGTGACACAGTGAATTATCAAAGACAACTGAAGAGGTTTTGTACAGGCCCACAGTATTCTTACTGGGACCTCTATCCCCTCACTGTAGTATCTCCCACAAAGATGTACTGCTTAAAAAGTCCTGGTGTTATAACATTACTCATGGAAATACTGCCCTTCTGTACTCCCATAAATTTCTCTTGGGAATGATACTTGCAATAGTTCGATGGTTAAAATAGGGAATTCTACATTAAAAACATGTCCTGTTATATGTACTAGCATATTTGTGTAGATGGAATGGAAAACTACAGGTTTATAGCTCTAAGAAATAGAAGACGAGATCAAGGAAGTCAATATTTGAGAGTAAGCTATGGTTTAAGAAAATAACAAACAATTTGCAAATTATTTTAAGAAATGAAAATATATTTGATCTATAATCTGAAAATTTTTGTTAGCTAGATACTGACCAAACAAGAATCACTAATAAAGATTGTTCTTCTAGTAGAGATACAGAAGAGCCTATTAGAAATAATAATGTTAATAAAAATGATAATAAAATGTGGGAGGAGGGGGAAATATAAATTGCAAGCAAAAATGAGGTAGCAATTCCCAGTTAGAATGAAACAGACTGTGGAAAGAAGAAAATTCATTAAAGGGAAGTTGAGCAGTAATATGGGAACAATGATCTATGAAAGAAGAAAAGAGAAGGAAATAAGAGGAGACCAAAGAAAGATCTTTCTCCCTTCATGCATTCTTGTTGCAAGAGGTAAAAATGGCTTAGAGTTCTCCACAGCTGGGATGAGATGTCTGAACTAGTACACTGTGGGAGGACTTGGAAGAGAGGAGAGGACTGGAAAGGGAGAAAGGTACTAAAAGTACCTACAAAGAACAAAGGATTAGAACAAGACAATTATGATGCAGGCAGGTAGATTATTTTTCAGAACATCAAGTATGGAGGACATTTTGAGAAGAAAATCAAGGAGCTATTCCTATGTGTCAGTGTAGTAGCAGTGGCACTGAGAGAAAGGATGAAGAGGCAGTAATAAAGTCAGGGGAAATGAAAGAGCATGGGGGAAATTTTTTATATACTTTTAACACATGGTATTTGTTAAGCTTGAGAGTTCATTTAATACAATCTGATTTTGCATGGTAGACTGGAAAAGATATTTATTCTCTATGATATGCAAGATCAATTCCACTTGGGTCAATGAAGAAGTCACTGGTGTAAAAATCAGTCTCTGCTTCCAAACTTCCACAGCTCTGAACTCCATGGTTCAGGAACAAAATTTAATATATTTTGATCTTTCCAGGACTGGTATGATAATTACGTTTGCAATTATTTCATATGCCACACTTCATTTGTATATGAAAAAAAAAGAATTGTAGATGTGTCTGGAACACAGTATTTTTACTATGCCCATCTGTAATGTGGTTTTGGCCTCTTTAGTCTCTCTACACTAAGTATTTATTTGCATACTGTGAAACTATATGCAATTCAAACAGTATGCAGTCTTCCACAAACAGATTAAAATTCCCTTATTAGACAACCACGTATGTCTGAATCCAGCATGTCAGGTGGTACCATAGAAGAATAACGGAATGCAGATTCCCAGTTTAAAATTAATTTCACATATCTACACTTGGAAATATGTACAAGGTACCTTCCCATCCAAAATAACTAAATTAACAAAATATCGTATCTGACTTTCAAGTACAGAACACAACATTTCTGTTATTTTCTGATCTATTTATATGAGTTATCATGAACATTTAAAGTGATAAATGATGAAAAAAACATTAAGAGTCAATGAAAATTTTAATCTGTTCTTATTTGTATGATCAACATTGTTATGAACCATGTAACTGCATATATTTTAATATTCTTCCATTTTAATTTTTAGAATTCTACTTTGCAGAAGTTAAAGCCTATCACCTGCTTATTAGACAAACTGCACGGAGAGAAGAACAAATTATCTACTTTTCACTTGGGAAAGTTAGACACAACTTGGACTTCAAGGTTGTTTCTTAGATGGGGTGTGTAGGGATTTGGGGTTAAAGGGAAAAGTGTTCATGAGGTAACTATATGTACTGTCCATTCAGTAACCAAAACCAGCAGACATATTTCACAAAGACCAGTCATGACAGTTAAGCTTTCTTAGAAGAATATCTAACACAAAAGTCATATATGCATCTGTCTATCCTAGACTAGTTATGTAGCTTTGATGTTGTGATATTAGAGGAAAGTTATAAACTAATTTCAACACGGGAGAAACAATAAATAAAGAAATACTATAGCACCTCAAAGAATAACATTATCTGAACTACATTTCTAACAGGGAAAACCAAAGATCAGCACTTTTTTGAACTTCAGTTCACTTTATTAGAAACTTAGTAAAGTTAAATAAACATATGACACCACAGTCTAAAAACATTTCGAAAACTACCTTTCCTTTGTATTGTATTTGTTTAATTCTGTGAATTCCATAGACTACTCATGTCAACATAAGAGAATGCCATAAAATGTTCAGTTGAACGAAGATATATGAATACATCTTGTTTCTAGAGTGCAAAGTACCATTTACCCAGGAATGTTTGTTAAAGCATTCAAGAATGAGTGACTCTCCTCTACAGTCAGTGTGTTTGTGTGTGTGTGTGTACCGTTTTCTTAATATGAATGTCCCAAGTAAAACACAAGCTTGCATTTGATGTCCTCTTATTTCTTCTCAATTGTAATATATTTTAGATATAATCAATGATACAGTAATGTGTCATAAATTTGTCAAACATTATGTGGCATTGTTAAAAGATTGTTGAACAGAACAATTTGTTTTCCTTACCCATTTCAGACATCTCTGGCACAGTAACAATGTATGGTCCATCTGTAAATTTTGGTGCATTGTCGTTGATATCCTGCACCTTGATAATAAATTCAGATTCAGGCTCGAGTGGCTTGTTTGTCCGTCTATCAATGGCTTGGGCATGAAGCACATAGTGTGTCTTCTGCTCTCGATCTAGGCTTTTGGTTGAATGGATGTCTCCAGTCGTGTCATCAATAATAAATATAGTGCCCGCCCCTTCTCCAGTAAGAATGTATTTGACTGATCCATCACCTTTGTCGGAATTGGAGTGCAGCTGTAGAATATATACACATAAAATCATATAAAATTACACATTAAATTTCATAGAAGTTTATTGCACATAAGATGTAAAAACTATATTACTGTTAACACTGTTCTACTTAGTTTTTAACCTTTCCACCTCTTGCCATAATTCTTCATGCGCTATTTCTGTCAAGTCAATCATTTTGTTCGGGGTCATTTCCACCCAGCATAGTTAGATTTTTAAGATGGGATTTCTTGGATTCTATGTCTATTCTAGGAAACTTCCCTAAATAGATAATATTCTAGTAACTGGGGTGAGTTTTATTTTATTTTTGATTGGTTTTAGTCCTTCTAGTAGTTATCTTACAACACTCATTGCTAGAAACTCTGCCTTAAGCACTACGCCTGAAGAAGTCACACTGTGGATTGATTACTTAGATGACTGTAGTTTAGTTCTACCACCTAGGTTATCTTTTGTAGCCCCAGGGACAGCATCATTTACTGCAAAAGGAAACTGCATAGTGTGGCAGTGACAGATGTCTGTCCAGGATTACTCTATCCATCAACAAAACACAGCCATTTTCTCTGGTTTTCGTTTGTCCGCTTTTAATTAGAAAGTCCCCTAATTTGATTGTATTTAAATTATTTATAATGAAGTAATGGTCTTTGGCTGATACTTCCAGCATTTTCATTGTTCCTAACACGCTTTGTGCTATAAAATACATGTTAAGTATATTATACCCCTTTTTGAGTAGAATAAATCTTACATTTATTGGGAGGGGGAAGGAAAAGTCACTAAGCACCTTGGTGTATTAAGAGATAACATGAAACAGCTACCCATTAAGTCTCAGTGCTTTTACCTTGACTTTAAAGAATTGCCTGTTTAGATTAAAAATGAACATGTGTTCTCTGAAAAGGAGGAGTGATTTTTTGATAGATTGAGAGGCTTTGTTTTTTTTTTTTCTTTAAAATGACTTTGAGAACAGAATGCATTTATTGAGGTGCACAATGAGAACAAAGTGATAATGCAGAAACGAACAGTTTCAGGTTTGTTCAGTTATATTGTGATGATAAATCGGAAGATAAATTTTCTAATTTTAAAAATTCACTCATTCTTATTCTTATCCCACTGCCCTGACTATGTCTTAGTATCTGAAATGTGGCATTACTAAGTTCCTATACAGAATCTGAACAAAGCAGAAACAGAATGCCAGATATTATTTTTAATTAATGGAACAGAAGGTGTCAGTTTACAGACTCCTTTCCATTGTCAGTTCAGAAACCACTTAGGGTTGGATTGAGAGAAAATAAGATTTTGGAGGTACAGATCATGTTTTTTCTGACTTAAATCATAAGATACACAGGTGCTACTATTTTCTCACTCTCTCCTTGTACCTTTTTTTGCCAGGTCTTTGTCTTGCCTTTAAAATTATCTAGCTTGCTATTTGTAAAAGGAGTAAACATATGGGGCTTGGTGACATTTTTAATCTTGGGTATTAAGTCTATGCAATCATGGTGTCTCACATAATTTATATCTTGTCCTGTAGTGGGGTTTGGGAGGAAGAAGTCTAATAAAATTGTCAGCTCATATAAACTTCAGTGTAACATTAGTCAATGCACCATATACTTATCTGAGCCACAAGGAGATTTGACTGAATAACCAGAACAAAACTGGGTCACCATTGTGGACCCATTTTTTTTATTTTGAAAATGGAAGAAAGAAAGAAGCAAAGAGAGGGTCTGTTTGCTTGGCTTTGCTTTTAGGACAGCAGGACAGTCTTACACATTTCCTTTACAGTAGTGATGGGCAAAATTCTGGTTACATCTCCTCTTATCTGAAGAATAATACTGTATTCTATTAATAAAGGAATAATTCATTCAATGTAAAATGCCGTGGGTGCAAGCTTCCTTTACAGTCAAAATATTCTCTGAAGTGATTTCTTCCTAAAATCATGAATAGTAGGTATTCTGATACTCTAACTCCATTTGATGGTATTCTAATGTTTTAGAAACAATCAGAACTGCTCTTCTCTTGCTGCAGGTTCCTATTTTGATAAGATGATTCCTAAGGGTTAGTTTTTGGAAATGTTAACATTTGCCTCAGAAAGATTGTCTCTAATTTATGGGAAAGAAACCCCGAGAAGAAATTTATATACTCAGAAAAATTACAAATCTGCTGAGTTTATGAAGCTATAGGAAACTCAACTTAAAACTATCCCAAACTAAAAAAGATTGGAAGAATCTCCATCCTCGTTCTCTCTTTTTAACTCTGCATGCGTATATGTAAAAGCATATTCAGATATACCATATAGAGACCCCAGAATTAGACTTGAATTATGAAGCTATGAACCAGTGAAGAAACTGGTTACATAGATAAGCAAGAAACCAACAGAATAAGGAACGGCTGTAGAATTTAAGAAATAAGCTTTCTTCAAAAAACTCAAATATCAACATGGACATGGAGTTCTAATACCACAGTGCAGAAAGGCACATTGAGAAATTCACTGTGATAGCAAAAAATGCATAGACCGTTTGGGGAAGTTAATAACATTAGACATTTTTTGTTCTGAAGAAACAACTATTTGTGCTTGTCGTCAGTGAAGAAAATCCACATAGATTTTAAGTCAGGGAGCTTTTGTATCTTACAAGTAATAAAAGTTAAGAAACTCAAAAGTTTCTCAGCTGATTGCACAGCCAACCAATTGTATGTTATTCCTGCTAAACATCATGTTACCCAACAAACTTCAATTGAAAAATTCAGGCAGGAATGTCATTAGAAGAAAAATTATCTAGGTATTAATAAAGACTGAAAGCCTTCAATTTGCAACTGCATCTTTTACACTGTAGTTGTAAGGCAACAACTGAAAACAAGAGAAAGCTAAGAGAAGTTCCTGCTTCCCTATTTCCTGAGATTTCTTATAGTGTCTGAAAAATAGCACTTTATGTCTTTTAATTTCTAATGCTGAATTTTAAATTCACATAGGAGAATTTTGCACCGCACTTCTACTGCATAACAAAAGAACCTTTCCTTTGTCAGTTGTTTTATATTTCAGTTTTTCTGTAAACTAAAGATTAAATAACTGTTTGTCTTTAATAATTCCATCTCAGTACAAACTGGCACAAGTAGAAGAATATCAAGGCTCCTCTCAAACACTTATTTGCAATATGTGTTGTGCTGAAGAGAGCCCCTGGGAATCCCTGCTTAAGACAATTCTTACCAGATTAATGAGAGATTCATGTCCCCTGAGCATGGTGTACTTCTTTCTTTTCCCTGCATACTATGAAATCATTTTCACAACAGGTGGTTTATTCCACAAAAGCATTTCTAATTAGAATAAACATGACTCACCATGTAGGTTATACATACATGGTTGGGGAGACTGTATTTCTGCAGCTATGTCTATAATGATTTATAAAAGACAGAATGGGAGCAAAACCTATCTGGACCATAGTGGACCCTCTCTTTACTTGTGACTGCTGTAACTATTTCTCTCTCAGATTAATTTGAGACAGAGGGTGATGCCACTAAGCAACACAGACTCAAGCCAAGCTATATTCTGTTCACCAGTTCAGACCTAACTTGTGTGACAAGGGGAAGTAATCTCAACCCAGGTCTCTAAAAAGTGTGTGGACATTTAATTTCAGTGAGATGCCACCATCACTGGCAGTGGCTACTGCAAGAATATGTATACGCTAGAGGATAAGACACTCACATGCTGTAGCAATGTGAATAAATAGCTTAGATAAACATAAAATGTGGTGTTATTTTTTCTCCCGCTGTGCCAGTCAGAGACAGAAAGTTGGAATGTTGCGAGAGTCTCTTAATTTAAAAAGAAATACAAATGCATCATAAACAAACACGATTACTCACAATGTTGAGATGAGTAATGAGCATTGAAAAGAAATACAAGGGAAATATGCCAAACATTAGAACACAGTGCTCTGGTTTCTATATCAGAGGTTTTAACTATGACTACAAAAACATTACGGAAAATGTCTTTCTGTAGGTTTTAGTTTCTATGATGATCTACCTCATCTGATGACTATATATTGATCTGTAATATTAATTTTTAACTGATACTTAAAGAAGCTTTTTTTCCCCCTTAATTTTTTTCAACATTCTTCCATAAGCCACCTCACCTTAGACCCCAAATCCTATTTTAAAAATAACTTTGCAGACCAATATTTTGCTTAGCTAACCACTAGAGACTAATACAGCTCGCACTCACCACTCCATCCTCTGTAGCCTCCACTGGGCTCCCCCCAACCCTGCCCATGGCTCACGACCTCATTGCAGCCCCCCAGGGCCACCAGCCCCTGCCCCAGCAATGCCACAGCAGGGCCGCTCTCCAGCTCCCCACAGCCCTGCACTTCCCAGCCATGGGCCCTGTCAAGCTGGGCTCAGCTGCAGGACTGTGTCCTGTCCCAGCCTCAGCCTGGCCCCATCCCCAAGGAGGTGCCCGATGCCTGGGACTGGGACTGCCCCAGTGGCCCCTGGCTGCCCTGCTCCTGGCTGGCCCTCCCATGGCCCCCCCTGGGGAGTCCCCAGTGCCCCGGACTCAGGGATCCACCTCACCCTGCTGCTCCCTGACAGCAACATCTCCAATCCTCAATCTTCCAGCCAGTACAGTCTTCTGAATTTCTTGTGGAAATGCAGTTTCCATCCTGAGTGATGGGTTGGCTTCTGAAAACATTACTTATTACTGATGATTTGGTTATGCCCCTAACATGATCAAACCCATTAAATATTCTGAATCTGTCCACAGCCAGAAGCCACCAGAAAGTATTTAATTTTCATGCCATGTTGGGCATTAGTCCTGTCTTTATTTCTCTAAATTTGTAGGGAAAGAGGAAACTGAAAATAGTAGCTGAAGAACTTATGTGGAATGTCATCTTTATCAACCCAGTGGGCTCCACTTTTTGACATATTTAATAACAGGTTGGATTCAGGATGATTTATGACAGTTCCTCACTCTTTAACTAGCCTATATCAGCAGTGTATGACTGATTTTGCAGAATAGCAACCAAGGT